GGTTTTAGTTAATTCACTCCATGTGGCAGTGTGGATCTGTCTCTCTTTCTTGCTGAAGGACATCATTCCACCTTTATCAACCATCTTTCACAGGTGAAACTTGGTCCATATGTGGAACGGACTGTTCCCAAATAGAGACTGCATTCGGCCGATTGCAGAGCTCTTTCAGAAGAGCTCTGACAAGGACTTGGGACATCACCTCCAAGCCAGGGCAGCACCCAGGGTCATGCTTTGTCTCCGTGCAGCTGCAGTTCACAAATCGGCCTATTATCTGAAACCACCATCCATATCAGTTGAAGTTAATAATGTCAGCCTGTAAATTACAGCAGCTAAGGAGCCAGCACACATTTGCTTCTGCCATCTCTCCTCCATGGTGGCCATTTCTGCCATTTCTGGCAGAGAGGCAGAGTGGACAGCTGGAGGTGGTAGCTTCTAAAACTACGCTAGCGTGCATTGCCAGGGCTTGTCATCTGTGCACAGTGAGAACTCCAGTAAAAGTTGTTGCATGGCTTTACAATTTTCCCCATTGATGAAGTGGCAAAATCCAGAAAAATTATACTGGCACGCACAGCTTACCAGAAGAACCTCATGTAGGTTCCTGCATTAGCTTCTCCTTTCTTTTTCTCTATTCGATTGGTGTAAACAGCTTCACTGTTTCTAAAACCAATTCATGGTAAGCAGTCCTACGCTGCTAATAGTAATTCCCACATGTTGGGGTCCTAAAGCACAGAAAATTGCCCTGCATTTTTGTAAACTTTTCTCACATTCATTTTTAAAGACCACACAGCTCAGACGCTTTCAGAAGGACGCTGGATGTTACATGGACATATGTATGAGTCAAGCCTGGGAGCTGGAAAGAGGCATTGTTCCAGTCTGCCTGCAGAATTTGCCATCGCTCTCCCATCATTTAGAGGGGTGCTTTATATGCAGATAGATCAGGGCAGTGTGGCATCAGTGTTGTTGACTTCCTTGCCACTCCCTGAAGATAGAACAGCAGTTTTTACTTGAGATCTAAACCTCATTATGCCAAAATCTGGGTAAGTTTTATTTTTAATGAAGGTGCTCATTTTGGCAGACTCTCTTTCCATTGCCAGAATGAAGCTGATTATTGGTTGCAATTATTTGTGTTCTATCTGTGTGATATACACCATTGACAGGTAGCAGAAAATACTCACCTGCATATATTTTATGATTCAAACACTAGAGGACACCAGTCTGCAGATCCTGCAGTAAAGAAATCAAATGGATTATGTAGTGAGATTACATACAATTTCTGTACTGTATCCTTCCTATGGGTGTGGTCACTGGGTTTGGGGTTTTTTTGTTATTATTATTTGATTCAGATGAATCTCTGTTTAGCCTTTTTCTTTTGACTGAAGAGGCAAATGCTGTTCCTTAATCCTCCGTCTAAACCTTTGCTGGTAGCTACTAAGTGGTGTTATTTATAGCCCAGGCAAGACTGAATGGCTTATAATAATGGTGACTCAAGCCTATAAATCTTTATAATTATTGCCAGAAGTATTGGTGCCATGTTGTGTTGTGATGCTTATACAAAAGTGCCGAGAATCTTTAATGGTGACTCATTAGCTTTCTTGTCTTTCCTCTTTAGTGCCCAGATTCACTGCAACGAACGCATAAACCTTTTGTATACAAAACCGTATAAAAATTTCTTATCTAGATTAGTTTCTGCTCGGTTCCTTTGTGTTAACACTTTGGAGGGCTCTTCCTGAGACAAGACAATGCTGCTGGCATTTGAAGCGCCCTTGTCCTGGTTTCAGCTGGGATAGAGTTAATTTTCTTCATAGAAGCTAGTGTGGGGCTATGTTTTGGATTTGGGATGAGAAAATGTTGATAGCATACTGATGTTTTCAGTCATTGACTGAGCAGTCAAGGACTGCAGCTTCTCGTGCTGGCCTGCCAGCAAGAAGGCTGGGGGTGCACGGGAAGCTGGGAGGGGGCACAGCCAGGACAGCTGACCCAGGCTGGCCAAAGGGGTGTTCCATACCGTACGGCCTCATGGTCAGTATATAAAGTTGGGACAAAGAAGAAGGGGTGGGGGGATGTTCGGGGTTATGACATCTGTCTTCCCAAGTAACTGTTATGGGTGATGGAGCCCTGCTTTCCTGGAGGTGGCTGAACACCTGCCTGCTGATGGGGAGTAGTGAATGAATTCCCTGTTCTGCTCTGCTTGCGTGCGCGGCTTTTGCTTTACCTGTTAAACTGTTTTTATGTCAAACCGTGAGTTTTCTCACTTTTACCTTTCTGATTCTCTCCCCTGTCCCACTGTAGGGGAGTGAGTGAGCAAGCTGCATGGTGCTTAGTTGCTGGCTGGGGTTAAACCACAACAGCCCTGAAGCATCAGCGCTGGCGACTTGAAGCTGCAGGGGTGGAGAGCCAGGAGCCACAGCAGTGCTGAGCACAGCACTGGGGCTTTCTGGGGGCCTTATGGCCAAGGCCTTTCAAGTACCGCTTGATGTGCACCTGCTTAGTGATGGAAAATATATGGACAGTGCTGGCTGGTTTGAACTAATGTTGAGGGTACTCCGAGCTTTACAGGAAAGGGGGATGCCTGTTGGTGATCTGAAAAACCATTGCAATGAGGCCATCCAAATCCTCTCCATGTCTTGCAGATTTGTATCAGTAAGTGGACTACCAGCTGCATAACTATGATAAATCTCGCTAGCGTGCTAACTTTGCAGCAGTTAACTCCGCAGGAGCAGCTTACCAAACTTGAATGCTGTGGGGAGAAAATAAACATTCTCTTGGTTTTCTGGTATTTTTGTTCTTCATTTGCAGTGCATTTGTATTAACAAGGTTTTCTCTCCAGAGACAATCTGGGGCATTTGGCCAAGGAATGTCTGTGTGTGTATAGAGGGAGTCATGGTGACATTTGGCCGAGTCCTGAAAGTTCAAGTTGTCAAAACAGGAAAGAGCTTACTGCCTATGGATTTTGATAGAAAGACTGAAATGCTTTCCAAGGACCAGAGATCCAAAGGCAGAATTTCAGCATGGCTTATGTGGGAATGGGCTTTGACCAGACTTTCGATTCTTGGATGAATTTCACCCGATAGCACAGAAGGCAACAGAGTCATGGGGTAGAAGAGAATAGCTCTGGCTGAGGACAGTCCTTCTGGTCCTAAAAAGCAGGTTCCTAGCACACAGCAGCTTTGTTGTTTAAAACAAGGGAGCAACAGCACAGCAGTAGGTGCACAATAGATTGTCACAGTGTGTTACTCTCTACAATAAGGAAATGTTTTTTTTGCCAAACTAGCTGTTCCCCCTCCAGCCTCATAGGTGGTAGCCCTCTGCACAGGCTCAGTTTGGCAATGGCTGTTAAAAACGTTGCCTTAGAACATTTTTGGCTTTGGGGACTGGCGGGTTATCACCTGCTGTAGCAAAGGAGACAGGCTGTGCCTGGGAACAGGAGTAGGATTCTCTGGGGTCTTCGGAAATGCAAGAAGCCTTTTAGGGAGCTCGTAAGGATGTATTGCTCATACGTCCTCGGGATTAAGTGATTTAAGTAGATTTTTGGTGCTAATGAAACTTTCCTGACTAACCTGCAGGAACTGCAGGGAGATTTTGTCTTCCTCTGTAGCAAGAAGGAATTCCCCTAATGCTGTCTTCTTGCAGCTTGTTGTCTGTGGGTTTTGGTCTCCTGTATGACAGAGACTAGTAGGACTGCTCAGCATGGAGCTGCCCGAGAGGTACAAGATAAAAGCATGTAAAATCTTGCGTGGATTGAAGAGTGACTGCATATCATCTGTCATACTGCAAGAACAAAGGAACACCAAATTACACTATCTGGTGGCAGTCTCTAAGCAAATGAGTCCTTTTTCATACAGTGTATATTTAGATGAAGAACTCATTGCCATGGGATGCTCTCAACACCAGCATGAGGGGAAGAAAACCCTGTGGAGGGCTATTAAACACAAAAATGCTCACGGAGTCCTCTGCTCTCTATTGTACTCTTGCACAGGCATTCGTTACGGGCTGCTGTCAGAGACAGCTCACTGGGTCAGATGGTCGTTTGAGTTGATGCCATCTTTCTCTGGTTCTTCTGTCTTAAGTTAGGTGGTGTTGGCAGGGGAAGAGGATCTCTGGCTTTTACAAAGACTACCCGACCCAAGAAGGAGGTCTAGAAAATGAGCAAACCACAACGCATGGAACACATCTTTTATTCAATAAGCAAGCAAGCACAGAAGTATAATGTGTAGTGCTTAATATTCATACAGTACTAAAAATATAAAAATAGAAATAAAATTTCACTGAAAGCATTTTCACTCACAAATATACAAGGAAAAGTGCTGTCAAGCCACATCATGCTACACCACTTGCCAGTTGCTGCACTGACAGTTTGTTTCCCAACAGAACTGAAACACTAAAAATCTGCTAGTCCTTCACTCACAGCTTTTGGCGAGTCTGAATATTTGACTAGCAAAAATAGGCCTCCTGCAGCCGAGAAGCTAAAAGGCATAGATATCATTACGTAACAGAATAATAGAATAATTCTGGAGAGTTTTGTAGTGATAGTAACCTGCTTCGGGCTGTTTGTGTACCTGTTGTAAAGAATAAAAAAAGGTACAGAAATAAACCAGAATCTTGATTATAATCCAGACCAGCCATGGCGAGCAATTACTGAAACTGTATTCTGCATCGATATTTGTGCAATACTCCCACCTGGTGGCATACTTTGAAACTCTCCTCCTTCAGTGCTGCCGTTTCCTCTGCCTGCTTACACTGGCGTGTACGTTCATCTTCCACTTAGGTCTGGTGGAGTCCAATCGCACGAACCGCAAACAGTGCTAGGTGCCCTTAACTTTTAGTGGAACTAGAGAGTATTCAGCACCTTATCGTCTCTTACTGTATCTAATGGGTGAAATTCACATCTACACAGGAAAGTGATACGGATCACAGACTCCAATTCCTCAAGACCGACCCTGCACCAGATGCCTTGCTTTTAATTCAGCCCCATTTTGAAGGGCTAAATTAGAGTTGGGGGCTTAAGAAGCTTCTGTTTGCTGACCTTTGGCATGGAGCTGAACTTCATCCATCAGGAAGACAGCTGTGTGCTGTCATCCATGAAAGCATGGGTGGGTTTTGAGATGAGGAGTGACAATCACAGATATATTTCATAACAAGGACTGTCTTGCAGAGTGTGCCACTGCACAGAACCTACTCAAATTATACAGATAAGGGTGTGCAGAACCTAATGTGAACCCCACTTTGATCAGTTACTATTTTAGAATGGGATTTATTTATACTTGATATGCCTGCTATAAAAATAAATGTGACGATTAACCCCTGAGATCATTCTAGCATACAGTTTTGGCCTGTTACTTGTTCCCTCTGAAATAATTTTTTATTTGGTTTACGGATGTTTATTTAGGTTCTAGTGAAAAGCTTTTATAAAACACATTAAGTAATCAATGTGGGGCTGAAAAGGTGTATATTCTAGTTGCATATATGATACATACCTTATATGTATATAATACATTCCATCACAGCTGAGTATTCTAGTATTGTCTAGGAAGTTCTTGCATGTGGACAAAGGATTAAAATACTAGAAGATAAACAGCTGTTTAGGATCAAAGATAATTGTATCTGATATTGTTTACTTAGATTGTTTCTCTTTCTTTAAATCTTGTTACACATAATAGCTACAGTAGTTTGTCCAGCAGGTAATAAATGAACGCATTAAGCACTTCTAGCTATATTTGGATATCATATGCATGCGTTTTTTATAAATAAAAATCAAATGTGAGGTCACATTTTCCCATCTTCTGTTTATAAACCAAATCAAATTTCTCATTCATTGAAACAGTGAAGATGTCTTTCCATAGCCCAACTCGTCCTGAAACACAGAGAAGGAACACAAGTCAGAGAGTGGACATAACAGGACACCAAATATCTACAGTCTAATTGTGCAAGGCACCAAGTATCATCCCATCTGTGAGATGCTAATCAGTCTTAGCTTTTCTTGAAAGCTCAATGAGACCTAGGGCTGTTCATTGTCTTATTCAATTCCCCTGCTACAAGCCTTACAAAGCTTTAAAATAAGTACCATACACCTTGTTAGCTGCACCAACCAAGTATTCTACAGGAAGAATTCAGATTTTTGTGAAATTTTGCTCTAGCCTTAATCAGAAATTAATACAGATTTTTGTTTGGGTATTCATTTAAAAGTGTATTTCTGGTTTCATTGCAAACTATGGCCATTTAATAATTCCAAGATCTAACAATAATACATTTCAAAATTACTGTGCCTTCAGCATATAGTGGTTACGAGAACTATCCAAAAGGTACGTTGAAACTGATTATTAAATTCTCATTATTGAGATGTAATATTATTATTATTAATTTCTACTATTTTATGTTTAAAGAGAAGTTCAACATATGAATTTATGTTTCTCAATATGGAGAGAATTATTTGTTAAGTATTAGTGCCTAGATTATATCTATAGAAGAGAACAAGTGCCACGCACCCAGTTTGTGCCATTTAAATTTTAATTTTGTACACAAGGAATAGGAAGCTTTTGGTAGATGCAACATGGACACTAACACTTTTTCCCTTGTATGGAGTATTCTTCTACTCTACTGAACCCAACTAGTAACATAACCTGATGACACTGCTGACCCCACCAGTCAAAGGCTGCGGCCCTCTTAACCACTGTTTCACTGCAGTCCAAAATTTATTTCACTCAAAGTCAGCCAGGGTTACTTGTTGGTGAATAAACCCCATGGAGTAACCAGACTGAGAGGCCTAATTCTCTTCTCATTTATGTTGGATATAAATAAAGACAAAATCCAGGCTTGTTCAACTGGAATAAATGAAAGGAGAATTGGGACTGTGCTACCAGAGAGTTTAATCATAACAGCAAGAACAAAACTACATGCAGAGAGCTTAATTACGCATTTGATGCATAAGAAGAATACCCATTTAATTTAATTACCATTGCTTTTATGCAGCAACTCTATAATTGAGTCCAAAGACAAAACTGTCTGAAACATCTACAAATTACATATTAACATGATGGTGTAGTATATGTAGCAAGGACTGTTTTATGAAGTCAGGATTTTCCTATAACTCCTGAAGTTATGATAGTGTTCTGGTTCGTTTTCAGGATCCAAAGATGAAAAGAACCTGAAACTGCCTGAAAATATAGCATTTGTTTTCTACCAAATTTCTCCTGTATCAAAAAAAACATAAAAAAACACTTGCAATCAGGAGCATCTGATACCAATTTCAATTTTGCTCTGGCAACTATAATTGCATAAAGTACAGCATGAAACATAAAAGCCTGTATTTCCCTTTCAATAACGATAATAAAACATTTTCTTCCTCTGCTTGGGAAAGATAAGCCTTTTATTTCTGAATCTCCCTAACAACATGCATGGACAAATGACAAGTTTTATAAAGGACATATGCAGTAGATTATTTGTAACATTTTTTTTTTTACCATATGAATTGATAGCTTGTCAAAAAGTCACCCACCTGGTTTATGATTTGAATCATGCAACTGTGTAAATTATGGTGTGATAAGGGTCAAATATAAGTAACATATCTAATCATTGTTCTGCTTTCACAGCAGCTCAGGGTTATCTTCAGAGTAAAGATCAATGTGCTAAAAGAAAAAAATGAAGAACTAAAATAAAGCAAAATAATAAAGTAAATGTAACCAATGACAAATTAAAAATATTTGAAACAAATTACAAGCTGTCATGTTATTGCCACAATTCTTTGTCACAGAAACAAAGAACAAAGCACTGCTAATGAAGCTGCATTCTGAAGTAACAAAATATTGTAAAAACCAAAGACAGCAAACAAAAGAAATTCAAAATAAGGATATTTTTAATAAAAAGCATACAGCAAACAAATGACAAAATACTACATTAACTGCTGTAGCTCCCTTCATTCTCTATTACAAAATGGAGGCTCCTTTTTGAAAGATTTGTAGAAGGTAGCCATAAGAGGCTCTGACCCTTGACGGGGGGTTTGCAGGCTCCACTACAGAACAATGAACACTAACACCACATACAGAATGGTGCATGCAGCAGAAGTGGTCATCTCCCTGTTTATCTGGATGGAGATCAACTGTCCAGTAAAGACAAAAGTTGACACTTCTGCCTGTGGAAGTTCTCACCAGCAGCTCTGTTCTCTTTTCTCTTATATTACAATCTCACTTTTCTTTCAAAACCACCCTTCTGGCTTTCACTGGACAAGGAGGCGAGGTTTGGGCTGTGCATAGCATGTAGCAGCGCTGCTGGACCACAGATCTCCAGATTGAGGAGGTTATGAGGAGGTCAAGCACAAACCTAGGGTTTTGTGCTAGTTCATGCAAGTCAACAGAGGAGGATGTGGCTCTGTGTGTGAAATCTTGCACTGACATAGAATACTTTATCTGCTGCCCTCAAGTTGTCTTACCAGACTTGTTACTTTGTGATCTCGTCTTCACCTAATCAGAGTTAGGTAACGTGCCATAAAATTCTACTGCAAATGAGATGGTCTGTTGTTTTCGCACAAGATACAAGTTGTGTTACATGCTGAATTTTCAGTTTGAAGTAGTAGTGGGGACGGTAGGCTGGGAGTTGAAAGCAAGATAAATAAGAGTAGAAAAACACACTATGCAGTGAAGACTCTACCAGAAACTATAGGGAATATATCTGGGCTTTCAGTGAAACTACAAAGTCCTTTGTCTTCATGGGAATCTTACCTCAAGCCAGTAAACTTGAGATATTTATTTCAAGAACTCATCATTTACCATAATGTATAAGTGAACTGGGGCAAAAAGAGGTGCCATATCACAGTTATGACCCAGAATTGCCCATAGGAGTTTGGTTTCCAGGTCCTGCTCTAACAACTGGAGTCTATAGCCCCTGCATAATGTACTAAGAGCCTTTCCATACCAGGTGTACAAAGTTACAGATAAAAGCAAGGAGGTGTGAGAATGTCATACTTGGAAAAAAGCCATTGCTGAAATGTTTGTGCCAACATACAAACAGGACAAGTTACACTGGGTCAGTTACTCTGATGATAGTCTGAGCTGAGCAATGGAAACCTGGCACAAAGCTCTGCCAAGAAAGATGCAAAGGTAATGCAGAATACCAGTGAACCGCCTTTCATGGGAAACAGACACTCTCAAACAAACCTCACTGACTGTTGGTAAGGTTACAGTTTGACTGACTAAAGGTCAGTTGCCAACATACAATGGACTTTTGTAAGGCATGTGATTTTAGTGGGTTTTTTTAATAGAACTATATAATGCTAACAAAAGGCATGATAAATGAATAAACAACTGGCTAACTCAAAATTAGTAGTCAAGAAGGACTGGCGATACTCAGCATTTTTATCAGAGATTTGAAAATAATTGTTAAAATTATAGCTGATAAAATCAGCAGATAACAAGAAGGTTGGCTGAGGGGGGTAGTATGGAAAGGGCTCCTACACAGAAACCTAAGAGTAAAATATTCAGGTCATGCTCCCTGATAAGGGACAAGAACCCACAAATTAGGTCCTCAGAAAAGACTTTGTGGTCATGATAAACGACACATGCTTCATGTATGATGCTGTAGCAAGTGCTAACGTGGCCATGGATGGACAAACAAGGGAGATAGGGAGAAAAAGTTCCAGTTAAAACTGGATTAAATCAGTGGATAAAGTGACTTTATATCTGGATAAAGCATTTCTGAGTCTCACATAGGAATCTTCCACCTTTAACTTATGCCCTGATTTTTAAAACAGAGCTGTTAAGTGCTGTGAAGCAGCTACAGAAAATAATTTGAAAGAGACTTACTGAGGTCACTCTTTTATGCTCATCAGAAGGAAGACTGAGAAAGGACTTGATTTCCTGACATTATCAAGGGACAGATGTATCAGCAGTTTAAAGGGCACTTCAGGTTCCTAGAGAAAGACCTCACCAGAATAAACACCTAGAAGCTAAACATGTTTTAAACAGCTGAGGTAGACAATGAAAGGAAAAAGCTCATAAGAAAAATTACAGCTCCTTGTCATTTGATGCCTTCAAATTAGAATTATCTGCTATTCTAGAAAATACGATATACTTCAACATAAGGGCATAGGCCATGATAAACTGTATGAATTTGTGTGGGCTCTGACGTGGCAAAGGTCAGGAGTGGAGCAGTCTTCTCCGCATGAATAGCTCAAGCTGCTGAAATAAGCCAAAGACATCTTGTCTTCTCTAACAGAGTGGTTTGCATGGTATTGAATATATACTGTTGATCTTGGATGTTTCCTTTTTTTTTTTTTTGTAACTTTAACTTTATTTCAAAACAAGCCCCCAAAATTGCACCAACAGTCAGTTATCTCCCATCATTTACATAGCAATATTTTGCCATCTTAACATATCCTGCAGGTTACTAAGTTGTCAGTTACTTCTTACAATTTCCACAATAAGAGTTTTACTGTGGGTTTTAAACATACCCCTGCCAACAGGAAGTGCTTCTGCATTACAGCACTGATCAATGAGTTGATGGCAGTGTTCCACCATGGATTCCAACTGTGCTTTGTCGTAAGAAACTCCTAAGAACCTCACCAGTTGCTCAACCATTGTTGCTAGGTCCTGTAAGACAGTATTTAAAAACCAGTTTATTTTAAATTACCTTTTTTAAATGAGTTTAAATATTTCAAAATTAGTTATATCCTGGTAAGTGTGAAAAATACAAATGCAGAAATCGTAGAAACACCACAGTCTTAAATTTTTGCCACCTTCCAATTTGCTGAGAATTAACACATTCCAAATAATTAGGGTAAGACAGGCTGGCAGAGAACACAATCATGCAAGCTTGCCTCTTCAAATATTAGAATGGGGAACTGCAAAGTAATTGTGACGCTTCCCATTTCGGACACCACCACACCCTTAACTGATCCCTTTGGAATACCAGTGTATTTTGGAGGAATTAAAAGTTACTTCGATTTTCATCTTGGTAAAATAAATGACTACAAATTTTAGAATAGCCCTTCTTTATTATTAGCTTCTGGGGCTGCATTTATGTAGATAGAAAGGATCTAGTGAGGTGGCCTCTGAGAATAAGTAGTCATTAATTTACATATCCAGAACTCCAGTGTTCCTCAGTATGAGTAAGACTTCTGGAGTTGCAAGGACAAAATAGCAATGTTTATCAGGAAGCAGAAAGATACTGGCACGCCACCAGGTTTTGGCAGCATCCATCAGTGAGCACAGCTAGGAATATATCATTAGTCAAAATCGTTGGTTTGGAATAGTTTCTACTAATTTCTTTTAATTGTTCTGATTGTGTTATGTCTTCTTTTAGCATCCTGGTACATCAGAAGGCTCAGTGAAGCTGAAATTATAACTTATTCAGCTTTATTGAGTTCTACCCTGATTTTGCGTTTTTGTAGGTTTAGAGATAGGAGCTGGATTTTTCCTATGCTTGCATTAATTTTCCAGTCAAATAAACATTTTGAAGTATTTTCATTAATTCTCAAAAATGTATTATTGCAATAGGAAATGGAAACCAATGTGCTATGTAGTATTCCCACTAAATTTTACTAAAAATAAAATTGATTTATTATCCAGCATCCTGTACAGACCCAATAATTATGTTCACCTTATGCTACACCATTATCCCTAATTGTTTTCAACATTGTTTCACAGAAGACAGTAAGAACAAGCAAACAATCAGAATAAATGCCAAATATATAGGACGAAACACTGATGATGTACTTTTTTTCTCATTGATACAGCACACACAGCAAAACATTTCTTTTAAATGAATGCTCAGGGCTGAATGTAACAAGCACTGAACAGTTACACACCTCTGCCTTCTCTGTGAGTAAGTTTAGTGCCTATGGATGCAGGCAGATTCCTGAGTAAATTACTAAGTCTATGAAACTGCTGATGATGTCCATAGAAGCTATTGAGTGCCTGTGCTATAAAAATGGTGTCGGACATAGTGAGCCCAAATATGGACATAAGAAGCAAATTTTGTACTTTATGTATTTTAAACACTACGATGCTAAATGTAAAATACCTTTTTGCTACATCTAACCTACCTTATGCATATCTTCATACTTGAGAAAAAGTACATTGGCATCCATGTGATGTTCCCAAAACTCTTGCACATGTTCAAACCACGAGCCATATCCTACTACAAAGACATTATGATTGGCATGAGGAAAATGAACACTTTTGTTATTAATCCCTCTTCAAAAAAGAACAAAAAGGAGAAAAACAGATTAACTGGAGTGGTTCATAGCCCCAGGAGGACTGTGTCTAGTTTTGACCCATTGCCATGCACAGCAAGGAACTTAGAAGAAAAGCTTTTTCTATCAGTTTGGAATATTCAAAAGAACTTACCATAAAGATAAAATGTTCCACTGAAAATGCCACCATATTTCATGATGGATCTCTTGGAGCTCAGTATTAATAATGCCTGAGTACTGAACGGAAATTGAGCCAAAATAAAAATTACACAGATAGCTTCGCAGAAGGCAAATTGTCAGTGGCTCCAACCTGTGTGAATTCCTGCAATTAACATACCACACTGCAGCCTCCTTCACTTAGAAGCTAGATACAGCATCTGTGGAAAGTTCCATAGAGCACCCTCTATTACAGATGAAGAATTGCTAACAACAATTGTCTTTTCTTAATTAAACAAGTATTGAGGAAACAGACCTATAAAAATGCTTCATGGTCATTCCCAAAAACTTAGGATGTACTGACAGAATATTCTATTTATCATTACATCTTTTGCCCCCCTGCTAAAATCTAAGACCTAGTCTCTTCTATTGTTATTTTCTGAACACTTCACCCAACTTCTATAGATATGCCAGTTATACAGTTATTAGTTATCTCAATTACACAATAAATCCAGACTACCACCAGATGTCCATGGGGTGTTGAGTGCTCCCAAAAGCTCAAGAGTGATGTGATGGGGTACTCCCGATATATCACAAGTTGTGAGCAGGCTCAACGTACAGGGTTGCCAATGATGAAAAGCTTATGCCTCCTACCTCCTGCATGCCACCAGCAGCTTGTCTTCAGTTCCCCATAGCTTCTGTGTGGGTTTTAGAACTTGAAGAGAAGCTGAGGTGCTAGGCTGGGAGGGCCTGTGCTCCCAGCATTGCTGAGGCAGTGGTTACTGAAGTCCTAACCCTCCCCCCAAAACCTCTCCTCTTCCACTTCTCTGATAAAGTCCACATTTGGAATGGTTTCAATCAATTTGTGTGTCTAGCAGAGGTTCAGACGCTGGTATTTATTATCTAGAGAATGTCTTTTGCTGCCAATATTACCAGAAAGGCAACCCAAAATGGAATGCATTCTGCATATTTATTTGTTACCAGTGATAAAATCCCCTGAAGTACTTAAAATAATCAAGGCAGGAGTTAAGCAAATATAGAGAGCAGTTTTTCCCAGTATTTTTTGGTCCATTTTATCTTTTCAGCAAAGCAGCTATAGAAAAATATTAAACTTTTTAGGTTCGTATTTTGAAGCCACCTTTCACTTTAAAAAAATAATTATTTAATTTTGGTAACTGGAACATTTTCAATGGACAAAGAAGTCAGTTTCACAGGAAAATTATTTTAATCAGCTGACTCATTTTCAATTTTTATAAAGGTATCGGAAAAATTCCGTTTTTGTTATTCCCATTCCATACACCTCTAAAGAAAATCACGCATGAAACTAACACACCAGTCAAGTAAAAAGTGTTCCTAACTGTATGATACAAGGGCAAGAATCCATTAAGATTATGTCAGCAAAGTTTACCTGTGTTTTATGTAAGAAACTCCCTTAAGCTTTAGAGGATAATGCAAAAGAATTAGCACACACAAGACTAACCCCCATCCAACTGTATGCTTTCAAACAATACAGCTAACATGCACTGAATTTGTTTCAAGATAGCCTGGTATAAGGAGGGATCAAAAGAGTAGGACTGCATCAATTGGGTTAAGCGCTTCTCCCTCTAGCATTGCTTTGACTTATACAGATTTTCTTTTGCTGCTGCATTGCTTCCGTGAGATGCACACATTTCGCTAAATGCTAAATTTACTGTATTATGAAACACTCCATTTATGGTACAATTATGGACACAGAACATGTTGTGATACTTTGTTGACTCTGGGAGGTTGTGATAAATCAGCTAGCTGCTGCAAGATGAAGATAGAAATAACTCTGGGGATTGTTGTACGAAAAAGAACCCTCCTCCGACCTTAGAAGACCACCTAATGTATCTTTCCTGTGTCTCCAGACTAGCAGTTCCTGATCATGGGCTACAGACAAATGTTCCATTCTCAGGGAATGCAAACAAAAAAGATGAAGGTGGACTAGAATGGAAGGAGAATGTTTACCCTCTCTGCACAAACATGCAGGAGAAAGTAGCAAAGGTTTTGAAGGTCTGTTAAATAACCTCCACTGGTAGCCTTTTATTTTTTTCCTTCCCTTTAGTATTATACAGCTTTTTTAGCATCAACTCTGCCAAATTCCAGGCTGAAAAAAAGTTTGCTGCACTGGATCTAGAGGAGATCCTGCTCTCAGAGCACAAGGTAGCTGGGGAATTCTTAGCGTCACATTAAGGTATCCTAGAGGAGATTTTGTAGAAAAATATAAGACAGTAAAAATTTTTTCTCTTCCTCGCTAGAAAGTGTGGCAATCCACTGGCAAAAAGTCCAGTGGCAGCCAGTTATGTGAGAACATAAGGCTTGTCCTCCCTGTAAGTTTACTGAGCTAGTGCTACGGAACTACTTAAGGCAGTGCAGCCTGAGCGGGTGGGTGGGTCGTGCAACAGCCCTTGGTCAATGGAGTTACTGAGTGAACAGCTGATGAGTTATTGTAAAGCAGGTTGTTGTAGTCTCATCGTAGTGCTGTATTTTTCAGACAGTAGCAGCCTGCAACTGCCTTCTTACAGGGCTCACTTCAACTTACTGATGTACTCCAGACCAATCTCATGCAAACTAGAGATTTTTGTGAGTTCTTGGTGGCATCTTGCTGGGGACAAATCTCGAGTTTTTGGATGAAATAAAAATATTAAAGGAATTACTAGGGAAAAATCCTTCAGGAACAGAAAGGTTCCAGAGAAGTAGATAAGCACAGTGAGCTACAACTGAAATCAAATGGTGCTGGGCACATTCATCACTTTTCACAAGGTACCTGGTACCTTGCAAACTGAATTTTAATAGAGTAGACCAGAGTTTTGTCTGAGCTAAATGAAACACTGCTGAGTCCCTGGGGTCAAATATTGTAAGGCAATTATTTACAAGGCACGGCCATAGTTTGCACGGACAAATCTAAGTCCACGCAGCACTGTATCTGTAGCAACCTCCTTGCTGTATATGCAAAACAAATGCACCTTTATCCAGTTCATTTCTGTACTTGCAGAAGGAATGCAGAGATGAAAATAAATGTGTAACAGCGTGTGCAGAGAGAACAGCTCCTTACACTTGTCATTCATAAACCTTCTGCAGAACTCCTGAAACGTTCCTCTGTAGCTCATGGTTCTTAGGGAACGGTGAAACTGGTAATAAGACACCACCAGGTCTTTGGGGTTGCGAGCCATGTATATTACCTATGATGGGGGGGACAAAAAAAAAAAAAAAAATCACCATATTGAAATCCTCCCCCGTGCCATTTCCCAAAAGACTTGAACAACTGCTGCTGATAAGGTTAAACAAATACGATTTCATTTAATTTTTACCTTTGAATTCCCGTTATGAAGGTCTGAAGGCAAAAACCGGTATGGTAGGTGGCTTTTTATAAGGCGAGGAGATGTCAGTTCCTAAAATAAAGCAGACAAACATTTCTTATTGTGCATTAGTTCTTGGCACATCCTGAGCTGTCCTGAACTGTTGTACTTGAAGTCCTTTACTGTACTGAGTCACATTCACAAATTCACTTTTTAAATTAACAGGGGTCTGGGACTAGAAATTAGGTCAGGGAGTTACATCTGTTTTTAAATATCAAAAGGCGGGATAATGTGTTGGGGTGGTTTGTTGTTTTTACCCCTTCTGTTTTCAAAGTAATTCCATTTATAGGACCTTCTCAAGAAGAAATTTTAATAGTTAAGGCTTCTTAGTGTCAAACTAACTTTGGCCCCAGTAAGGCTTCCACTAAAATTCCTTGAAAAATATTAGAAGCTCTGAAAACCCCACCCTTAACTTCTTCACTTCAAAATTTTACTCTTGCAATTGATTTTATCCTCAGAATTAGGCCCAGACAATCCAAATGTCTGAGTGTGAACGTCTTTTGAACAAGATCATTTTTCTGTAATTTGAGACAAAATCATCTTATGACACAAATAATCTTTCAATAGTTAAAAGCTGCATAAATCTATAATGGATCAAGTTGCTAGCACATAGTATAGGTAACAATGTGTAATCTCAGACTAAACCTCTCACTATTGCCACTGCTGCTTTGCGCCAAGGTAGCACTGAGGTCTCATTGGACTAGGTGTCACACAGATGAAAAAGAAAAGCAACCTCTGACCCCTAAATACTCTCAGACTAACGTAGGCTGATGCTGCAGTTGTCAGTGACCAGAAGCAGCTTAAATCTATCCGTGCCAGCCTTAGCTAGCTCAATTCAGCAAGCACTGTAGCTGTTCTAGGATGGAGCCCAGTATTTTGCCTAATCATTCCAAGATATGCCTATATCAGAAGTAGTTACAGCAATGACATATCACACTTATATGCCATCTCACTAGTCTGAGGGATTCTTAGTAGCATAGAAGTAATTTCACACAAAATATTCCAATCTCCTCAAACTACGCCTACAGAGTCTGTAGATCCACAGATCCTGGGTCTCTAAGGATTTAGATGTGTAAATCCAGAGCAGTGGGTCTACAGATCCATATATCTCCGTATTCGTAGTTCCTCTTTCACAAATCCAGGGAATGAAACAACGCAAATTTGCCTCATCTGGGCAGCATTCTGTTTACATAAGCAAGGGAGGCCTGGAACTTTTAGTCAGAAAACCCATTGCCAAAATATTTAGGACATGGAGAAACATCTCCTGAAGTACTGAAGAGAGTCTAATACAGCTTAATAAAAGCAATTTAAAAATAACCTAATAATACTCTCAATCATTCCAACAAACTGAACAAGTCCGGTGATGAAAAGGACCAGGACACAGGATGAAATGAAGTGATAAATATGAAACCAAGGAAAAAGATATCCAAATGCTGAAAGACTTTCTTTGCAATAAATTGTACCTTTATGATGTCCAGACCAGGCTGAGGGTACTCTAGGACTGGAAGTTGTTCATCTATATTCATTAGTCCAATCTCATCTGGATCAGCTCCCTGACTCACTAGATATACCACTTCCTGTAGCAAGCCTGTGCCTGCATAAACCAAACAATGAAAGAGAACAGATTGTATTACAGTTCTTATCTAAACAGAAGCATATGAAGGGAGACCTAGACACAGAAGATAATAACAACTTTTGTCCTTAATAGTCTGCTGCGAACTAAGTCTGTAACTACTGTTTTAAGATGTCTGCTCCCTTTGTTTTATTTTAAACACATGAAGATCTCCTTTCACATAAAACACCTGAGATTTTTCTTTCATAATAATTTAAATATGTTTCTGTCTCCTAATCATTTCACCTGTGAATTAGAAAGCATTTTACATATACTGAGTTTTCCCACTGTGAATGTTAGCTAGGCAAATACTACTATTTCCATTTTAGAGATGAAAAAAAGATCGTCCGAGCTCACAAAATGCATTAGCAGCCATACTGGAGACTGCCAGTGTCCCCTATTCTAAACTGTAGGCAATTCTACTGTTACGCAATGATTTGAGAGTCTATTTATACCTCCACATTATGGACTGGATAAACCACTGAACACACCAATGCTTAGTGAGTTAGTCATAAGCTTTAGAGTTCCCAATTACGTTCCTCTCTCCAGTCGAAGGACATTTACAAAGCAACCATTAGATATTATAGCCTTAATGACTGCACTTTAGAAAATTAGTAGGTATTCCAAATAGAAGTTTGAACAGGGAAGCTATTTTAAATAACTTTACCTTCAGGCAGGTAAGAAACCCTCAAAACAGGCAAAACAACTGTTCAGAGATATTTGACAGAGGCTTATGAAGAGAAAGGCACAGCATTTCAGTGAGATGGAGGAACAGAATGAAGAGAGATTAAAGCAAGCTAGCAGGGAAGGGACCCCACAGTTTAGATGACAAGTCACACAGGCATGGGACATCCTGGATACAGCAACAGATTGACCAATTATTTAAGAGTTTTGAGTGGCAAGGAAAATGAGACCAGGATTTATTCTCTCTCTCATGTTGCCTAAAGGAACAAGTACTTGTTCTAGAACTCTTTACAAAGCCCAATCCTGCCTCAACATCCCATGTCCTTGGATGGGATGAGCTGCAAACTCTGAGATCATGCTTTTCATTCCCATTTTAACTTGAAAATAACTTGTAAATTGCAAGTAACTTGTAATAGTCACCAGTTAATTCATGTCAACTAGCATGAACTGTACACACTAACAGACACATTTTGTACAAATTCTGTATGTTGTTCCAACACAAAGAAAACCAGTGCATCATTATTCAGATTTTTTTTCAAATTGAGCTAGGAAGATTTTAAAAAAAGCTGACATACTTTAGAGGGTGGTTAGAGTGAACACAGTCTGGATACAATGTAAAAGACTACAAGTCTCCAAGAATTGCTTTGGAGACTAAGTACTTTTAAGATTCCTCTGTTTCCTGACTGATTGGTGGGTAAATTAAAATGGCTTGGAAAAATCAGGAACTTTTACATTATCATCAACCACAGAGACAGCTGTCACAAACTTAATACACACTTGCCCTTGAGGCTGTTCACTCTGCATTTTTAAGTCCAAGCATATATTTTATATATTAAAATTAACATACATATGGTATTTCAGCATCAGTTCTTGTGACTCTGAATGAGCACAACCCTTGTTTTCATTAAATATTTATTCTGACAGGAGACACCCTGGTTCTCTATAATTTATTTCTGTATTTCCAATTCTGCTTGCAAAGAAAAATGCTATTAGAGCAACCTTGTTCTATAAAAGGAAAAAGAATAACTGTATGAGGATAAACAACACCACCAGGACTTACTCATTTTTCGTTACTCAGCTGCTCTCTAGGAAAAAGCTGCCATCTTCATTGTGCCTCTGAATACAGAAGGGCCACAGGGTTGAGGTAGAACTATGCTGAAAGTTCAGGAGAGCAGCATGTTTCCTACCAGCTCTCCACAAAGTCCACCAGATGAGTAGGTGGTGAGGACCAGGGAGCACACCCCCCATGGCCTTAGCTAGTTCTGCCCAGGCCTGTGACCAGGTACTAGATTTGGCTTGATTGCTAGCAGGTCCATGGAACACCACAGAGATAGGAAATGACATATTAATGTAGGAGGGTTCCGATTCAGAAGGAAGTGGACCACTGGAAGCTCAGAAGTCTTCCTTGTCTTCATCTAAGTGTGCTTCCATCAAAAATAGTGATTCGTTGAAAGAGTAATGCTGGGCACATGACAGGTACTCAAGGCAGAAAAATCTCCACCAAGTACAGGTTCTTTAAAACAGTGCTTTAAATCTGTGAACCTCAGTGCTAATTATTAGCATGCACGTACACAAATTACTGTAGCTATGTATGTAGTGCTGCATGTATTCCAGCATCCTATTCCAATTCACACAGCAAACAGTATTTCTGCATTATCTCTTCTACAAAGGGGAGGACTGCAAGCTGACACTTTAGACATCCAGCTTCTGGCCAGCCAGCAGGTTAGAATTTCTCTTCCTTACACCTGCAGTATGACCACTGATACTGAATTCCCCCACTCATGAACTCTGTGCTAGTTTTCACTTTTGTCACCCACTACATTAACCTGATTTTCTTCCACATTATGATTCAAGTTACTGTGCTTAGGATTTTCAGAGTCTTAATGCAAATGAAAACTAGAGATTTAACTTTTGAGGGAACTAGGATTTTTTAGCTCATCACCCTTAATCAATTATCATTTATTCCACACGCACATTGCCAAGAGCCCCATATAAAAAAAATTATCATTGACCTGATCTGTTTTAAAAAAATATATAAAACACCATGTGCCTATTTGTTTAAAAAGAAAAAAATAGCTAAAAGCCTTTATATATATAAAAAATTATATATATACAGATATAAAAAACCTCCTCACATCTCTAAGAGGATTAGAAACAACTCAAATTAAATTACAGATATCAACAGAGTTTAATGTTCTTTTGGTTTAGAAACGATGGCTTAACCATGCCACAGAGAAATGGCAGCCCAGATTCCAGACCTAGATGCTAGGGCAAGATTTTCTAGCTCCTGGGAACACCAGCTGGCTGGAAAGCCAAACAAACTGAGGTACTGTACCTATGCATGTGATGAGAGGCCCAGGCCTAGACTGGAGCTAGCAGAATTTATTAAATTTGCCACTGTGGGAGGTGAATGTGAGTCTTCTGCTGTAGCCCCCGATTCCCCACCTGCATATAAAGCATACAGAAATTGGTCATTTGTACCAACTAACTTAAATTGATGTCTGATGATGTGCAAGAACCACCATTTTATGGGTGAAAGCTAGAGTAAATTGCTGAAACTGAGATTTTCAAAGGAGATTATGGGAATAACCTTTGATAATGCCAGTCTATCACAAAACTTCGCCAGATCTAAATGCCATAGAAACTTTCTTAGTAAAAGAGATAATAATGACAGTTGTTGAAGAAAAAGATGAAGGAAGCTTAAAAAAAAAAAAAAAAAGCAGAATTTAACCTTTATACTCCCTAGATTTCTGGCCTGGCTGCCAACTATTTATTGTCATTTGAGTGTTACTCACTTTTAAGTTAAATTAAAGAATTAGGTCACTAAGCGGAAAAGCTAGCATGTATGCATATGAAGCCAAGGTTTTTCTTGAGACAACTGGTGGACCTTGTGTATCTTCAGTGCTTTCTATCATTTTCTCCTTGTGCTGCTGAATGTATGCACATGTATGTGCATGCCTCACTTGGGATGGTAGAAAGAATAAACAGTCACTGACAAACAAGATTCATCTATCAGCCTTTGGGCATGAGGCAACAGATGCAACAGTCTTAAATACCCACCAATTCTACCCTTCTTTCTTCCAGCTGTGGCAGATCCACACTTCATCCTGGAAGACTGCTGGCCCTGCTACCTCCAAGGTCATATTGCCAAATCAGATGTGGAATTCATTTATGTTTATCCAATTCCAATTAAAATGGAGCCAGTCAGCATCTGAGGAACTTCACTGCACTGTACCTGAGAAATGCTCTTCCCTGACAAGCTCTTCTGTTATGTCAATACAATGCCTCAGGAGAAAACAAGAGTGTTCCAGTTTATCACACAATATCTGGAGAGAGATCACAGAATCACAGAATGGTAGGGGTTGGAAGGGACCTCTGAAGATCATCTGGTCCAACCCCCTTGCCAAGGCAGTATCACCTAGGGCACGCTGCACAGGAACACATCCAGTTGGGTTTTGAAGGTCTCCAGAGAAGGAGACTCCACAACCTCTCTGAGCAGTCTGTTCCAGTGCTCAGTCACCCTCACAGTAAAGAAGTTTCTCCTTGTGTTGAGGTGGAACTTCCTGCGCTGCAGTTTGTACCCATTGCCCCTCATCCTGTCACTGGGCACTACTGAAGAGACTGGCTCCATCCTCCTGAAAGCCACCCTTCAGATATTTATAGACATCGATAAGGTCCCCTCTCAGCCTTCTCTTCTCCTAAAGAGCCCCAGGTCTCTCAGGCTTTCCTCATACAAGAGATGTTCCAGTCCCTTAACCATCCTCGTAGCTCTCCGTTGGACTCACTCCAAAAGTTCCCTGTCTCTCTTGAACTGGGGAACCCAGAACTGGACAGAATACTCCAGATGAGACCTCATCAGCACAGAGTAGAGGGGGAGGATAACCTCTCTCGACCTGCCGGTCACACTCTTCTTGATGCACCCCAGGATACCATTGGCCCTCTTGGCCACCAGGGCACATTGCTGTCCCATGGGTAACTTATTGTCTACCAGGACTCCAAGGTCCTTCTCCATGGAGCTGCTTTCCACCAGGTCAACCTCTAACCCGTACTGATGCATGGGGTTGTTCCTCCCCAGGTGCAGAACTCTACACTTGTCCTTGTTAAATTTCATGAGCTTCCCCTCCGCCCAACTCTCCAGTCTGTCCAGATCCCATTGAATGGCAGCACAGCCTCCTGGTGTATCAGCCACTCCTCCCAGTTTTGTATCATCAGCAAACTTGCTGAGGGTACATTCCAACCCTTCATCTAGGTCATTGATGAAGATGTTGAACAAAACCAGACCCAGTACTGATCCCTGG